AAACATGGTCAAATGTTCACACTTGTGACATGCCAGCTATATAAAGGGTGCAACAGTATGAATCCACTGTGGTATAGGTTATTAAAATAAATGCAATCTTCTTGCTGGTAAAGGAAAACATTTTTTCGAAAACCTTAGTAAATTTATACCTTGAAATCTGATAGACATAACTTCTTGTTGGTGATTGTGCACTCCATCGCAATGCATTATAAATGTATGAGTGGTCCATTGTGGATGTACATCTAAGTCACTTGTAGGCAACATTGTGTACCTCAGTATTGATTGAATAGATTCTTTGAAAAAATATTTTCTAATGTGTGTCTTTTCTTGCAATTTAGTTAACACTACGCAATACATAGGTTAAATAAGTGTGGACTCTTTTTGATGACAGAAGCACTTTAAACACTAGAATTATGCACGAGTGCATCAGATTGGCTCAGTGCAACCAAGAGATAAAATGTGTGTTCACCATGTAGTTTAGTACACTATGGAAAGAGTGCCACCCAGTGGCTGTAATTTAAAACAAACGTAGAAAAATTTAAAAACAAAATAGCTGAGTCTGCAGAAAAGGTATGCTTGGAAATATTCTTGGAAAAAAACAAGATAGAAAACATTAACCCCTTCCAGGACTAATACTATGACAGGGATGACACAATAAAAATGATTTGCTTCAGCTAGTGCTTAAATGAAGAATGCAAAGGGGTCAGGGTAGCAATTTTACTTAAAAGTTGGTTGTGATTTAGCTTTAACATGTATTTGTTAAAGATGGGCTATTACAATAAAGGAGAAATTAGGGCACTTGCCTAACTTCCAAATGGTTAGCAAAACCAGCACCATCCCTATACACATGTTATGTGCTCTGTTAGCATACCTGCAGTATTCTGCTCCCTATTGACCATTATAGTAGATGCAGAACTCTGAATTATTACATTTCTGAACTTATTTCTTTCAGAATTTGTATAATGTACACAGTAACCACCAAGTTTTAAATTTGGCAAAATATGCTTTATGTTTCAAACACATCCATTTTATTTCACAATTCACTGTGAAAACATATATTATACAATGTTATCAGTAAGACAGTCAGATCCAAATGTCAAATACTAGCAAAAATATGCAATTATAATCCAGGGATATCTTAAAGACATATGACAGAATTTAAGGCAGCAAAGTGGTTTTACCCCATATTTCATTTATATCTAGTGCTTTATCCCGGACGCTTGCACTATTAAAAAGTGGAACATTTGAATAATATGTTTAATAATAACCATGCACTTTCAAATTAAACTTTATTATTTTTTAAGGGCAATTTGATCTAATGTAAAAAATAAAATATATCACTGGGACAAAGCCTGTTCAATTTGAGGTTCTTGTTAAGTAGCTTCTTCTATTTAATGCCACTTTTTCTGAATTATTAGTCGCTGGCTTTGTAAGAGTGGTTGTTAGCTGTAAGTGAAGATTCTAGTTAAGGATGAACATTTTCTTTTGATGTGAATCTTGTCAAAAGTCAGTTTGAGTTTCTGTATATTCCTTTATTACTTGATGAAAGTTTGAAGCTAAAAGAATCCCAGGATAAAATTTAAGACTGACATAGTGAATTTTAAAAGTGAATATTCCCCATTATGAAAATAGAAGTTGAAAGATGTTCAAATTGCTATAATGAATTAAATAATGTAGAGACAAGAATTACATTAAAAAAAATATATAAGGAATCTAACAGACTGTTTATAATTCCCATCTGAGCTCAGATTGTCTAAATTACAAATTAAAATGGAAGTGTCACCTTCATTAACACTATTTTATGTGGAAATATCCATGGGCAGACTGACCTGATTGGGAATTAATCATAGAACATAACATTGGCAAGGTTGCTCACTAAAGGGAAAATTAAAAGTGACTTTTAAATATAAGATCTAAATAGCCAAACTGGAAAAATTATGTAAGCCAGATGGGCTTTCAGTTCTGCTACAATGGCTTTAAATTTGAAATTCACGTTGACAAAATCTGTTGATATCTCTCAACATAATTTACAGAGGTATTCACTTACACAAGGCATTCTGGGAGTTCAAAGTGAATTTAAAATGCAGTGGCTAAGGCCAGTAAGGTTTTGTCATGTATTAAAAGGGGCATTAATTCTTGGGATGAGACTATCATTTTGCCTCTTTATAAATCGCTGGTAAGACCACATCTTGAATATGCTGTGCAATTTTGGGCATCTGTTCTAAAGAAGGATATTATGGCACTAGAAAATGTGTAGAGGCGGGCAACAATATTAATAAAAGGAATGGAACATTTTGACTGTGAAGAAAGGTTAACAAATTTAAACCTCTTTAGTTTAAAAAAAAGAGGTTCCTCAGAAGGGATATGGTAACATTAGACAAATATATCCAGGGCCAATACAAACCATTGTCTGGAAATCTATTTATAATTAGGTCACAAGGTCATGCGTTTAGACTGGAAGAGAGGAGATTTAGTCTAAAGCAAAGAAAAGGTTTTATTTACAGTAAGAACAATAATGATGTGGAATTCTCTGCCTGAAAAAAATAGTTTTATCAGAGTCTGCACGGATGTTTAAATAGCAACTAGATGCATACTTGCAAAAACATAATATTTGAGGATATCATTTTTCAATTGTAGGGTAATAGCTTCTTGATCCAAGGATGAATTTGACTGCCATTCTGGGATCAAGAAGGAATTTCTTCCTAATTTGTTGCAAAATTGGAAGTGCTTCAAACTGTTTTTTTTATTTTTTTATTTTCCTTCTTTTGAATCAACAGCAAAAAACAGATGCGAGGAAGGCTGAACTTGATGGACACAAATCTATTTTCAGCCTATGTAATTATGTAACAAAGAATTGAATTGGATTTTTTTTTTAATTTTGCTATTTTAGCCTAAATTAAAAAAAATACAATTATTTAAATTCACTTTGAATTTCTGCCAATTCTTACTTTTGTGAATAAGCATGTTAGTGTCTTCAAGGCAAAATACAATTTATGGTAGAATAGTGCAAAAATATATTTCAGTCTGTTAGTCTAAATCAAATTCCCTTTAATCCACACCTAGACAAATTGATTCATCCAGGATTTACCTCTGGAGTCTTATTTAGTAAATAAGACTTTGCAGGTAAATCCCAGGTGAATTAATTCTTATGGGTAAGAATGTATAGATCACGCCACGTACAGTCTCACTGCTCAATTCTCTGCCATTTCAGTGTTTTATTTGTTGTTTCTACTGTTTTATATATAATGTAAATAGCAATAGTGTATGATAATGATTACAAGTGCATGTAAGGTAAGCTATTTGTTTAACCCCTGTAGTGCAGGGGGGACCTAACACTATAGTTTTTCTGCTGTCTTTGCAATCCTTAGTGTGGCCAGCTCATGTGCCATTGGGCTAGTGTGCCCAAGCAATTGCTTTTGACAAAGCATAGCAAACTTTTGATGCAAAATTCATGACAAGCACCTCCACGGATTTAACAAGAAAATGTCTTTACATGAGAAATACATGACATAAGAATAGAAACCTGACATTTCACTTTCCTTTAAGTAGATCATGCTGTTATTAAACAGGAATAAACTGAAGAACAGCACCACATTTTATATCACAGTTACACTACAATGTATCATCCTTTAATAAATTAAACGTAACTATTGAGTTAGAATGTCTGATGCATTTTTGAATAGGTTTAGAGCTTCATTACCATAGATTACTTCCTCCAACCATTTGTTTCAGCCCCGCTCATTTTGATATTTTAGGTAAATTTTGCAAGATCATTAATTGTGATTTGTAACTATGATAACTACCAATATTTAAGTTATTTATTAATATAGACAAACTACCAATATACACTTTTATACCAGGTAAGAGTAATGGGTTTTTTGTGCTATAATAATTTTGAAAAGCGTTCCCTAATTAAACGTTAATTATTTTTAGTTGTATAACAATGTATATATTAAAATTATATATTTTTTGAACAACTGCTTCTCTCATTGCTGTGCCTTTAATTTTTTGACCTTAGTTTTGCTTGTTCAAATTATATTTTCTAAATCTTGTGTTTTCGCAATATGTATAACAAATGGCACAAAATTGACTGTTGTTATAATTTGAGCTCGATATCACAGCGTGTTAGAAAATTATGTTTAGGGGTTACTCCTTAACTCATTTTTGAAACTTGAGACTCTTTATCGATAGCCTGTTTGTGCTACTTAGTATAGTTGTAATCCGTAAAGATTTATTTTGTGGCGTGAGTTATTAAAATGTTATTTCCATAACTTTATTTAACAGATAACGTCTATGCAGTGGCTATATGGTGACCACACAATGATGGAAATGATTGAGAAAAAACGTACTCTTTGCAAGGAGATAAAAGCGAGGCAAAAAAATGAAAAGGGACTGTGTAAACAAGAAAGCATGCCCATTCTGCCGAGTTGGAAAAAGACCAACGGATCCAAAAAATACAGCCCTCCTCCCTATTCCAAGCAGCAAACTGTGTTCTGGGACACTGCTATATGACAAAGACCTAGTATAAGAACCCTCTGCAAAATAAAATGTGCAGACAACACATTCATGAAATTGACCAGTAGTTGAAATACAGTTCTTAGGCTGTTTTTCACTTATTACAAATCAAAGAAGACAGACCTACCTACTTCAAGTCACAAAAAATTATCAAGATTTTTTTTTTTTTGCAGATGTATACAAAAAAAAATTAAATGTAAATACCTAATCCATTTATGATTAAAAAGAAGTTGACAAATATAATTAAATTTTATGAATAATTTTGATATTTTGTGTAATGTAATAATTGTAATGTTGTTTTAAAAACTATTTTATGTGAGACTTTTTTGTTTCATCTTGCTTTGCTTTGGAATTTTTTTATGAGGAATGCAATTTTTTGGTTTATTCAGACATTTATTTTGCTGACAGAAACTACTAAATCTAGATATATTTATTATATACTATATGAAAAAAAAAACAGAAACAGATATGTGGGATGTATGAGTAAAACCTCCATGTTTTATTTTACATTTCATGTTTAGTGATAAACAGTCTGAAATAGCATACTACCTAAATATAACACTTCTATAAATGCAACCAAGTTTTGTTATTACGACATGGAGGTTAGTATATCATTTGGCATTTTTATGATTTAACATATGAATGACTGTATCATTTGTTTTTCAAGAATTCAGGAGACCATAGTTCACTGTGACGAAAATGAACATCATACACAATATGAAACTAAATAAACAAAAAGTCACATACTAATAAACAGCCCACATACAGACATAAATTATTTAAATTTATACAAACTATTTAATGACAGGGGATAGACAAATTATTATGTTGTAAACTAGTTAAAAAAGTAACTGATTTCCACATTTTTCTCCCCATTGGCAATATTTCAAACCAAATGGAAAACCTACCAACGTCTGATTTATGCTTGTCTGACAGAGTAAAAGGTTCCTGTTTTCAAGAAGCTGAGGTACATACTACTGTGTGTGTTTGTGTGGAAATCACTAAAAGCAGCACTGTCACTTTTTAATATTTAATAGCAATGCATTTATAATGGGAAAAAAGACTGCATTGGAAATTCATTGACATTCCAACAAAATTAGAAAATATATATATGAGGTATAGTACATTTTTTTTTTTTTGGCAAACGATGGCAAAGGGATGATATTAAGGCAGGTTGCTCATGATGGCATCTCAGTGTACATGTGCAAAATGACCCGAGAAATAGCCCACAATCTTATTGTATTCTGGGTTTTCTATTTTTTAATGTGTGAGAATGCACAAGAGATGTGGACTCCTGGCAGACTAGAGAGAAAGATGGCATTGCCAAGGAGGGAGAAGTTCACTTAATTTTATCTACCTACCGACTGTCCCCTGGGTGCCGCCATAACAGTGGACATGTCCACTTGAGGGAAACTTTGCATAAAAATGCAGATACCTTAAACTGGAAATGTTACATTGTACATATTAATCCGTTTCCGAAATATTCCTAAATCACAAAATAACCCACATGATTAAAAAAAATATATATATCATAAGATTTGTCTTGTAAGGTATTATGTTTCCATTAAGGGTGCTATAAGTCCTTTTTCTTCAAGTTTTCTGTTTTCAGGATGTTACTGTGATGATTGCCTTACTGCGGTAGTCTCTTCACCTCTGACAGGAAGTGACAGTGCCACTAGGATGCATTTCCTGTTTATAAAATGCAACTTTGTTCCATATCGAGGAAGCACGTACTGTAAGCATAATTATGGCCAACTTTCTGCATGTGGAGGGAAAATAATTCACAATACATATAAAATAAAAAATTTAATTTTGAGATATGATATGTAGCTGCTGCATGTACAAAGATATTATTAGATGTTACAGCATTTACAATTCACAAAACTTTTTGCGACAAAGTTAGATTTACTTTTTGACTGTTTTTTAACAGTCAAAAAGCAAATAAAAACAACGATTACTGTAGTACAGTGCTGAAACTTGGACAGTCTTGAAAAATGTTTTACTTCTGAAATATGCTCACTCCATCAATGACAGAATTTAAAAAAAATAATATGAACATGCTTTTGGTATGGCATGGATAAGTCAGGATCTTAGCATAGCTTTCACAAATTAATTCTAAAAATTGCAAATCAGTGATCATTAGCCATGTAACCATAAACATATTTAAATTTGGTAATGGTGGTGCTTAATTCCTTTTATACAAACAATAAGACTATAACAGAAAAAAACAACAATTCCAAGATCATTTTATATTTTCATAATTAATTCTTCAGGCCAGAGAGCATTCCTTTTTTCCATTAACATGCTTTTTTTCTATTATATAATTTCCCTTGAGGTAGCTATAATCATTGCTTCATTTTTGTTGTATTAATGCACGTCCTAACACTATTTAGATTCCTTCTGGTGATTGGTGCATTTAAAATAAATTCATTAATTAAATACCACTGTGCTCTTGTAGGACTTTTGAGTCCATCAAAGTATAGTACATTAAAAGTGATTTATATTTATTTAACTAATACAAAGTGGGCAAAGTTCTAAATTAAGAGCAATCACCATAGAAACAAGTGGAATGTACCCACAGATTCCATGTCATACTGCATATTTATTCCCCACAATTCATAAGCCAATTAATGTACTTTATTAATTCATTAGAATAACTATATATGTTTCCTCGATGAGGCAATATATGTTATTTAAAGGAGCTTCAAAGGGTTGAGAAAGTGACAACTTTTCAGATGATACACATGAGCTACACGAGGATGATATATCCCAAGCACTTGCTAGAGATGTAACGTGTACAACTGAAACATGACCTCAAATATTATGCCTGATACCTCAAATTTTGTTTAGAATGTGCCATAATAGAACATAGAATGGTGCTAAAATGTAACTCGACTAGACATCAAACTAAAATCACGTTGGTTGCTAGACAAACACAAAATAGAACATAATTATCCACACAATTACTTTTCAATTACATTTATCACTAAGTTTGTATGCATGCAGAGAAAGCACTTAAAATATTAATAAAACATATTTAATATGGGAGACATTATATATATATTGAAACACAAGAAGAATCTTCGGTAAGAATCTTAGTGTATAAAGGGCTATTTATGCAAGTACATTCTGGTCATTTAGTTAAGATGTGGTACAATACGTACAATCTTGATCTAATAGTTTCATTATTGGGGAATGTAAGGATTGTACATGAAGAGCAATACTAGGACATTGTTACAATATTTAAGGATTCATTATGTATAGTCAGTCAGTTTCTATGGTGATTGTTTCACACGTAGAACATTGTCCAATAACTAGTTTGTCCTTCAAATAAATCTGTTTTACATTTTCAATATTTCTTTCTCTTTACCACTAAAACATCTAACAACAGGTAGTATTAAAATAAAAGCAATGTGACGATATGATCCGGTGTAAGCATCCTAGGAGTTACAGTCCACCACAATGAAACTGCCAGAAACTGACTATTATTGGCTTAGATGTCAGTGGTAATATAAGTAACAATGACTGACGCAGGTGTGAATAATGCATGTGAGGTATTATATCTATGTTATACTGATTGCCATTTAATCTGTCTGATTAGTTTTTAGAAGCTTTTAGGTATTTATCCATTAAAGGGCTACACCAAGCACCATAACAAATACAGGTTACTGTAGTGGTTATGGTACTAGGAGTGCCCTGGTGCCACCCGATGCAACTAGTCAAACCATTAGATAACAATTTGACTTCTTACCTGTGGTCTGATGGTGCTGTTCCTGGCCTCTATGCGTTTGTAGGCTCTTTTCACGGATCTAGGCAAAGCAGTCCAGGATTTAGCCCAGTGGCTGAGAGTGATCAGCTGATGCTCACAGCCAATTAGCTGGCCCTGCACCGCAGAGCTTAGCTCAGAAGAGCAAACAGAAACCGCTAGCAGAGAGTCTAGCATCCAGCAGGACCCCAGGTAAGATGTAAAAACATCAGCACACAGTTTGGCGGATTGCATTGAGGGGGCGTCAGAGCAATCCTGGTACTATAACCACTACAGCATGCTGGAATGGCTATGGTGCTTGCAATTTTCCTGTAATAATCTACATGAATATTATGTCTTGCGATTCTCTTATTCTTGTCTCATAACATTCATAAGACTATGATATCTAAATACAGGAGGGGAACCCCCATGTTTAGGAGTACCAGCCTAGTGAGACTCAAAAGCAAAGCTTCAATTTAAAAAGAAAATCTGTCTGGGCACACAAAGAGCTTTTAGCATGCTTGATAAAGACTCCAGCAAAGAGCCAAAGAGCCAAAATGTTGCTTTGACTCAATAAAGATTGCTCTCTAAAACCTCTTTGAGTGTCCAGACACCTTTATTTAAATTGGAACATTCAAAACACTGACTGACATGCTTCAAGCTGTTATTTTTTAATAAGATTTCCTTAATTAAAACAAATAAAATACTTTTCTAAATATTTAGTTTTTCCCTAAAAGTGTGTAAGTCAAAATTTCAGCTCAATGCAGGAGATTTGGGGTGAAAACATGTCAAAGAATGAAACATGTCTAACATTTGTATGGTAAATATAGAAAAATATAGGCCAAATAAAATCCACTTTTATTTTAGCTTTTCATTTTTCTTTATGTTGCTAAATAATTTCATTATACTTTATTTGTAAAGAGCCAAGTTATTTTTCATCGCTGTACAATCTGGGAGCTTGAGGTCAACACTCCAAATGTTTTAATGTATTAGCTGCAAGTGGTTTTAAAAGTCGATGTATGAGAAAGTGAAAATGCTTTTATTCACACAAGCCGCAATGGAGGTATTTCAAAGCAATACATTCAGGAAAAAGCAGGGAATGCTATTTAAGCTTCTCGCTCTTTTGCTGAGATCAGATATATATATGAATAATTACTTTAACTAATGTTAACTATAACATATATCATATATATTTGTAGCTGAAATTAAAGTTTGTGTAATTTACATGCTATACCAGTCAGCTGGAGTGTGAGCAGATATATTCTGCAATAAAGGGGATAAATGTAAAAATGTAAAACTAATTAAGTAAAAAAATAATTAAGTAAAACATTTTCAGCTTTAACATTCAGAAAAAGTAAAACATTCATAAGAATTGCTTAGGATGGAGAACTGTGACTCCCAACCATCTGAAATGTAATTACAAATTAAAATCCATCAAAGTATTTAACCTTTTATATCTGGATATATGACTGTTATAAAGGCTCAATCCAATTGGTGAGACTTGTATTGTGTTTATAGATTCAATATATTACAAAACCAAAAAGTAGTATGTTTGTATATCAAGATATTAATATGTCTCCCTTAAATTGTTAATAGATACAAGAACACTTTACAGTAGTTTGAAGAAAGAAATGTTATTTTGTTGTTTTTTTCATATTATATATATTGCCCTTTATCACTTGATTGAAGCAATCGCTCTTCATAAAAAAAGAACAAAAAAACGGAACTGGGTTCTTATAGAAAGAATATAGTTTAAGAATATAGTGTGATATTAGTGTACTGTATAAGGCTTTGGCCTTTTTATGCTTTAATCACCTAAGTCTAAGTTATGTATCTGCTTCTTGGTAACAATTTTAATGCATTTTATCCATTGTAGCTGCTCATTTTCCCTATTCACTAAGTACAAATAATGTCAGACATCACTTTCTATTTTTCTAGCTAATAACTGTTTAGAGGGCAATGCCAACGATCTGGCAAATGTAGAGAAAAAAAAGCAAGTAATATTTATTTAGCATTACATTAAAACATGTTTCACGGAGATGTTCAATGCAAACATTTACTAGACTTCAGGAACATGACATTATCTATTCACAGCCCCTTTCCTATTTATTTCCATGTTCACTTAGTTATTTGGTATGCACTTAAACGGCAAATGGAAAAACATCTTTAGAGTAGCATTCTGTGTGAAGTGTGCTGTGATTTTAATAAAGCACAGTATAGTCACAGCCCTGGTCTTGTTATTCTTGCACTAAAATGTTGTTTGTATAAATATATCTATATATACAATTAGCTATATTTATACACGTGTATTATTAGCAATGTATGTTCTTTTAATGCCTATTATATACAATGTAAAGTGCTATAATATGAAAATATGTTTTTAGTGTTAATATGGCACAACATTTTTAACTAACAGGGTTTTTAAGAAAAAAAAAAAAAGAAAGCAGTATAAATGTTTAGTGTAATTTGTTTACTGATCCTAAAATTGAATGTCATTACTTTTATTTAACATTTCATGAAAGCTTTCAGGATGTCCTGAAATTCACTTGTGAGCTGGAGAAAATATAAAATCCTTTGAGTACCAGAGGCGAATGTCCAACGCATTCGTCCGTAAGGTGAAACATCCGGGACTTAAAGGGTTGACCAGCCAAAAGCCATTTTTACAAAACAGTAAACGCAGAAATGAAAAAAAATTCTGTTTTTTTTGTACTTACTTTTTTAAGTACCATGTATTTAAATGTACTTTGATACTCTAGTAGTAATGCAACATTGTTTCAAAATCTTATTTGCTTTCTTTGGTGCATTGAGACAATTTTATAATAAATATGTGCGTACTTATTTGTGTTCCAGTGAAAATAAAAGCAATAGTTTAAAATACTTATTGTGTTGTGTATTTATATAGATAACAACAAGCAACAAGAATTACTATATTTATGCTACCATATGACTGTTTTTAAAATGTTATTTAAAGTATTCAATATTTGATTGCACAATTTATTTTATTATCATACCCTCATTTTTAAATGTATCGTTTTATTAACATACCAAGCAATTTATATAGTAAGCGCTGAACTGTAATTTGGGTAACCCAGTGTAACACGCACTTAATTAAGATTGGGTGCTAAAAATTGAGAAAAAACCTTGTTACCACAAATTATAAAGTACCCATAGCACACCTAACCGTGCCAGAAAAAAAGATTTTATTTAATACATTTAGTACACAAAATAGTTGACATAACAACAGATAAATACACTGTAAGTAAACATTTCTTGAGAAAGCCCACATCTGATGGGCGAAACGCGTTGATAGTGCTGGACTTAATATTTTAGTTTTTTTACTTCACCTACGAGGTTTTATCCTGAAGCAGCAAGAGGAGTTGGCATCCTTCCAATAGAGGAGTGCTGTATTCCGGCTCGTGTGCACAGAGCTTTCGGCATCTCCATACTTGGACTGGTAACATACTGGCCACATTGCTAATTTATGTTCATATCATCTTTTTTAGCAGATCTTGGAGACAAGGATCAACATTAAATATCTTGTTAGAGTTCCATATAGGGGGTAATACAGAGGGTGTTAATAAATTTACAGTTTTACACTATGTTTCCATTTTCTCTGTGATTTTTAAGGTGGATACGATACATCATCCTGAGAAGTGGATACAGTGTTTTATAATATTGAAATTTCGTAAGAGTGAGACTTGCACATTACCCAGACTGATAACCTGAATTGGAACTTGGATTTGTCTACATTTGAAAAGTTGTGGTCCCTCATATATTTTTGTATGGGTAGACCCATTAGCACTAACACTATGAGTTGAAATTTTGCATTTTAAACTTGGGAAGGTTTTTCTGTGTTTAGCAGCTTAAATGTCATGCTCAAAAAAATAAAGGGAACACTTAAACAACACAATGTAACTCCAAGTCAATCACATTTCTTTGAAATCAAACTGTCCACTTAGGACGCAACGCTGAGCGACAATCAATTTCACATGCTGTTGTGCAAATGGGATAGACAACAGGTGGAAATTATAGGCAATTAGCAAGACACTCCAAATAAAGGAGTGGTTCTGCAGGTGGTGACCACAGACCACTTCTCAGTTCCTAGGCTTCCTGGCTGATGTTTTGGTCACTTTTGAATGCTGGCGGTGCTTTCACTCTAGTGGTAGCATGAGATGGAGTGGCTCAGGTAGTGCAGCTCATCCAGGATGGCACATCAATGCGAGCTGTGGCAAAAAGGTTTTCTGTGTCTGTCAGCGTAGTGTCCAGAGCATGGAGGTGCTACCAGGAGACAGGCCAGTACATCAGGAGACATGGAGGAGGCCGTAGAAGGGCAACAACCCAGCAGCAGGACCGCTACCTCTGCCTTTGTGCAAGGAGGAACAGGAGGAGCACTGCCAGAGCCCTGCAAAATGACCTCCAGCAGGCCACAAATGTGCATGTGTCTGCTCATACGGTCAGAAACAAACTCCATGAGGGTGGTATGAGGGCCCGATGTCCACAGGTGGGGGTTGTGCTTACAGCCCAACACCGTACAGTATGTTTGGCATTTGACAGAGAACACCAAGATTGGCAGATGAAAGCAGGTTCACTCTGAGCACATGTGACAGATGTGACAGAGTCTGGAGACACCGTGGAGAACGTTCTGCTGCCTGCAACATCATCCAGCATGACCGGTTTGGCAGTGGGTCAGTAATGGTGTGGGGTTGCATTTCTTTGGGGGGCCGCACAGCCCTCCATGTGCTCGCCAGAGGTAGCCTGACTGCCATTAGGTACCGAGATGAGATCCTCAGACCCCTTACGAGACCATATGCTGGTGCGGTTGGCCCTGGGTTCCTCCTAATGCAAGACAATGCTAGACCTCATGTGGCTGGAGTGTGTCAGCAGTACCTGCAAGAGGAAGGCATTGATGCTATGGACTGGCCCGCCCATTCCCCAGACCTGAATCCAATTGAGCACATCTGGGACATCATGTCTCGCTCCATCCACCAACGTCACGTTGCACCACAGACTGTCCAGGAGTTGGCAGATGCTTTAGTCCAGGTCTGGGAGGAGATCCCTCAGGAGACCATCCGCCACCTCATCAGGAGCATTCACAGGCATTGTAGGGAGGTCATACAGGCACGTAGAGGTCACACACACTACTGAGCCTCATTTTGACTTGTTTTAAGGACATTACATCAAAGTTGGATCAGTCTGTAGTGTGTTTTTCCACTTTAATTTTGAGTGTGACTCCAAATCCAGACCTCCATGGGTTGAAAAATTTGATTTCCATTTTTTTTATTTTTGTGTGATTTTGTTGTCAGCACATTCAACTATGTAAAGAATAAAGTATTTCAGAAGAATATTTAATTCATTCAGATCTAGGATGTGTTATTTTTGTGTTCCTTTTATTTTTTTGAGCAGTGTATTATAACTCTTAGTGCGCTCTCTTATTTTATTTAAATTAATAAAGTGCAAGCATATAAACCAACCAGTGTTCTTTCACATGTACTGACCTAGAGCTGAAGACCAAGACACTCCATTGTTTCGGCTGTTGCCTTCTTCAAAGGCATGTTTTATTCACCCAGGATAGTTGCAATTACATCAGTTGTGGAGTCTTTTCCACTGCATTGGAAATACGCACATGCAGACAGAAAGAAAAAAAGGGGTCCAGAGCATATTCTATGTCAGTGATTCCATATTCAGCTACAGAAATAACAAATGTGGCAGATTCAGGGCAAGAATTACATGTTAATGTTTAGATACTGATTATGTAGCATATAATTCCAAAATGTTTATGGTTTCGGTGCTTGCTAAGAAACACATTGTGCATGTATTCACCACTATATACATTTATGAAAGTGTATCTTTCAAATTATATGAACATGAAAAAGTCAGAAAATGTACTACCAATGACCCATTCAAAATATATATAGACTCATCATCATAAATTCTTTCAGGCAGACAATAGGGCTTGAAATGTGGGTCACTTGTTAAATGTTTTTTTATTTTATTTTTATTTTATCGCACATTCTTTCATTGGGATTTTGTAGAGCTTTTATCTCCTAAGGCAAATACTGTGGTAATAAATGGCTAAGATGAACCATTTTTTTTCCACAACATTATCTACACCGTTGACACAAACAGGGTTATTCACTAAAGTGAGAATTGACAGGAATTGTACATGAATTCAAAGCGAATTTCACATTTAAGGCTAAAATAGCTAAAATGAGAATAAAGTTGACTATCTTGGCCAAGGTTTTGAAATTCTCTTTATATTCACTTTGAAAAACCCTGAATGTGTTTGTACTTTCCCAGGCTGTAATTATGTATAAGAAAAAGTGGGATTTGTGATTCAACATAAATATACAAATTTATCGTGTTTCGTAAAATTATGACAAAATGGTTGAAAATAGCAGCCCTAAAAAACAAGTCCAGATTGGTAAAAAAATGTTTCCAAGAAAACAAGGGTGGACCCAGAGCTCTATCTGAGAAGGGGCACAGCCCCACTATATTATGGCTAACATAAAAAATGCTGTTTATGCTCTGTGATATTTTCAAACACCTTGCACATTTTTGCGGCACTACACAATGCTCAAACAAAGAATATTATTAGGGAATTCTATAATACTCTAGCATGTAATGCACATTACTGCACAATACTCTCATATGTAATGCATTAATAGCTATTGCACATTACTGTGAGCCTCTATAATGCACTCATAAGTAATGCACATTACAGTGATGCTCTATAATACAGTATATTCATATATACTGCTTATTACTGCAGAGCTTTTTAATAAACTCATATTTACTGCACATTACTGTGAAGCTCTAAAAAAATCATATGTACTGTATATTACACCAATTTACTAAAATATGCAAAGTTACATTACATTTCATTTGCACCCCCTCAGAGACGTACTTACACAGACTCATATACTCATACAAATACTGCACGCAGAGATATACTTTCAAAGAGTGTTTTTGTGTTAGTGAGTGTATGTGTCTGTTAGTGAGTGAGTGATTGTGTGTGTCTGTCAGTGAGGATGTGTGTCAGTGAGTGTGTAGTTGTCAATGTGTATCTGTGTGTCTTAGACTGAAGACGATCCTTCCAACGAGTGACAAGGGCCCTACAAATGACAAACAATGGAGTCCGTCTCGCACCCTCATGGCTATCAGAGAAGGCCACACATACCAGCTTTCCTCTGGGGAGACCTCCACAGCCTTCCTTTGGGAACTGGGCCTTACCTTACCCCCAGACGGCACAGTCAGGCTGAACCACACTTGGGACGTGAACAGGATTGTACCCTTTACTCCTCGCTCCACTGTAGATACCAGCTGAAGAGGGGATGGACTCTTGGGGGCTCCTGCAGTGATGGAATGCAAATTTGATCACTTTATGTTCGAAGTTCAATGCTTTACTTCTAAAATGTTGAAATTTCATTATTGTTTATTTCCCGTGCTTAGCTCGACTACCACAGATTATATTTTTGCCTCCCCACCCCCCAACGCTCAGGGGTCATTGAGCAGAATGTAAGCGATAGCAAATCATCTTGACCCGAGTCCTATCTCCCTATTATCCCCCTGTTGATCTCCTATAGGTCTGCTACCGTAAGTCCTCAGGGTTATGTTTTTATTTACCCGATACTTCCCCTTCTTGGTCACCTTAAAGGACCACTATAGTGCCAGGAAAACATACTCGTTTTCCTGGCACTATAGTGCCCTGAGGGTGCCCCCACCCTCAGGGTCCCCCTCCCGCCAGGCTCTGGGGAGAGGAAAGGGGTTGAAACTTACCTTTTCTCCAGTGCCGGGCGGGGAGC